ATCAATGATTCTCTCTCATGGTTGATGTTTTTCTCTCTCTCCCTCTCCTTTCCTCTCTAAAATAAATAAAAACTTAAAAAAATAAAAGGATCCAAAGACAAATAATGATAAAAACGTGTCCTTCCTCTCCTCTTCCTGTCTCCTGGCCACCCTGTTCCTCTCCCTAGAGAGGAACATTAATGTGTTTCTTATATCTTATATATTGTATGAATATCTATGTTTTGGAAATAACAAGACTCCAGCATCCAAACATGTTTCACATATGCAGCTACTTGGAAGTCAAATAGACTACGTAAAAACTTTTTCAGATTTCTAATTCTAACAATTCCTGCACACATGATTAATTTTATTTTCTACTTATTTTCAAGAAAAGAAGCAACAAGGGATTATCTTGGAATTACGAAGGAGTGCTGGTGGGGACTAAAGCACCGTGGCTCTGTCAGTAACAGGCAGATACAGCCTGACTTCCCACCTAAAAACTACAGGCTTTCTAGATGACATCCAAGCTCCTTCCAAAGGTAAGACCCTCAATTCTGCTAAACAAGAGATCACACTTGCTCTTTTCCAAAGCTCAAGATGTACCCACAGGACTGTACAATGTTGTACCTGTTGTACCCACAGCTCTGCACAACGAGATGGATGCTCCAATGACTCAGGTGCTACAAATCTGAGATTCTCTGATATAGTCAGTGCAGTTTTATGACTCATTACAGGTTACTTCATTGCTTTGACTATTGAGAAAATTTCAATCAAATATATATAGAAATATCAATAAGAATAACATCACTTCCCAAATGTTCTTGACTAATCATATCTTATACATTATACTCAAAACCACAAATTGATTAGTTGCAGATTTTATCAATGCAGTGTAAGCTTTAGGATGTTGCCCCATCCATGCTTGGTATTGTATCAACTCTTAATAGTTCCATAAGCTTTTACAGTAAGGCTATGGGCCCTACAGCAAGTCTACAGAGCTGAGCAGGACTGTCTATAGGAAAATCATAATGGCAGATTTATCCCTCTAAGATTTATCCATTAGATCTGGGGGTGAGGCTTGAGAATCGCTCCCTTCGAAAGCTCTTCTATCAGTGGTTCTCAAACCAACTCTACTTTGGGACCTCCTGAGGAGCTTTTTTTGTTTTGTTAATCTGAAAGGGCGAGGGCTACGCCCTTTATCTTACTCCGGATCCTCCATATTTAGGCAGTAGCCATCAGCCATGTGCTCGGCAAGGAGCTTTTTTCCGGAAGCCCAAGCCTCTGCTCTTTAAACTAACCAATGACAATCAAGGGACGTGCGCGCCATAGATATGACCACATCCTGTGTAACAAGACCCGACTTGCACCTGGCCAATCGGCAGGGCCCACAGTCATCTCTCCTCCCCTCACTCCAACCCCCCTATTAAACTCCTTTTCCCACGGGGCTAGCACTCTCGTCTCGCCGCTGCATTGGTAAAGAGGCTGGGAGCCAAACCCTGGGTTTTAATAAAGACTCTCAAGTGCTTTTGCATCGGACTCGGCTGGCTCCCTGGTGGTCTATTGGGGATCTTGAAATCTGGGCATAACAAATCCTCATCCAAAGGTATTTTTCCATTGATTTTTAGAGTGGAATGGAGGGGGAAAGACAGAGAGAAACATTGAAGTGAAAGAGACACATCGGTTGGTTGCTTCCTGCACACGCCCTGGCTAGGGCCAGGGATCGAGCCTGTAACCCAGGTACCTGCCCTTGACCAAAATCCAACCTGGGACCCTTCAGTCTGTGAATGGACACTCTACCCACTGAGCCAAACCTGCTAGGGCCTGAGGAGTTTAAAAATGCAGATGCCTGTGTCCCATTCCCTGAGATTCTGATGTAATTGGTCTGGGATACAGCCTACGCATTGGGTTCTTAAAGCTCCCCTGCTCATCCCAATGTGCAGTCAGGACTGAGAGCTTCTGCTGTAGATTTTGACCTGGGTTACCTGCCTGGAAATCTCTTTGGATCAACAGAAATTGTTTACTTCCCTCCCGTGGAATTAGTGTAATCTCCATTATTAGCACTACTCTGCGTGAAAGCGAGGCATAATCTCAGGCCACTCGGTGTGATCTGGAGACCAGCACATCCACATCACCAAGTGCCCGACCCTCAACAACTGACACAGAATCTGCATTTTAACAAGATCCCCAGGTGTTTCACTTGCTCATTTAAGTTTAAGGAGCTCAGCAGAGTGGCCTTAACCACTATGCTGTACACCTGAAACTAAAACAAATATTGAATGTAAATTATACTTAAAAATTTTAAAAAATAAATAAGAGCGTTTGAAACAGTGGGGGGTGGGGGGGGGGCTCGGCCTGCCTTCACAGACTGCTGGTCCCAGGTGATTCTTATCTACAGGAAGGTAGAGAACCACTGAAGCACGCCCAACTTGTCCCCAGGGTACGAGTCTTTCTCTCCTTTGCAAAGCAGCCCAATCTAATTGCTTAAAAGCTCCTCTGCATTTAACCCAGTGGTTCTCAACCTGTGGGTCGAGACCCCTTTGGAGGTCGAACGGCCCTTTCACAGGAGTCACCTAAGACCATCCTGTATATCAGATATTTACATTATGATTCATAACAGTAGCAACATTACAGTTATGTTTATTTGTTACTAATGTTGGGGCCCCACCCCATAACAAAGAAACAGAATGTCCAGAGGATGAGGCCCAGAAATCAGGATTTTAAAAAGATTCCCAGGTGATGCTAATGTGCATCCAAGGTTGAGAACCACTGCTCTAAAGAAAAACCGTCTCTTCCTTAGCCCTTCATAATACGGACGAGTCTTTCCCTTGCCCGTGTGGTCTTCATCAGGCTTCAAGTCCCCAACGTTTGCTCCTGATTCTGTTTCTTGCTCTTCTGGTTACTCCCACTCCCCACCCCGCACTGGAAACCTTCCAGTTCAGCACACCCCTCAAATTACACGGCTCAAACCAGAGGAAACCTCCAACATGAGCAACATAGTATAGAAAGAAGACTATCAACTCGGATCAGAATATTGTACTTTTAATCATGCAGCAGGAGGTCGCTTTATGTTTTGTTTTTAGAAAAGCTCTGTATCATGTTAACTTAATATTAACCTTGTTTACCAACAACTGCTATATCCCTTTCCCCTGGGTCTTCAAGAGACACCACCAATACTTTCACAATTATGCATTGAACGTAAGTACAGGGCTTTACTTATAACCCATGTACATTTCATCACTTGATCTTGGCCCACTGTTTCAGCCCAACAGTTCTGGTTACTAGTCCTGGTTACTAGTCTTGGATTCAGATTCAAGTCTGACCTCTACAACTCTGCTGTAGGGCCTTACGCAAGCTCCTTAGCCTTTGTAAGCCTACTTTTCACTGTATAGGTACAATAACAGTTCCTATCATAGGCCAGTTGTAAGGATTCAATAAACTAATGTAAAAAGCCTTTATAAAGTACAAAGCTGTGCAAATGGTTAAGACTCAGCGGTTCTCAACCTGTGGGTCGCAAACAATGAAAATACATCCTGCCTATCAGATATTTACATTACGATTCATAACAGTAGCAAAATTACAGTTATGAAGTAGCAACAAAAATAATTTTATGGCTGAGGGTCATCACAACATGAGGAACTGTATTAAAGGGTCGCAGCATTAGGAAGGTTGAGAACCATACAGCCGTGGGCAAACTACGGCCCGCAGGCCCTTTGAAATGAATAAAACTAAAAAAAAAAAGACCGTACCCTTTTATGTAATGATGTTTACTTTGAATGTATATTAGTTCACACAAACACTCCATCCATGCTTTTGTTCCGGACCAGTTTAAGAACCCATTGTGGCCCTCGAGTCAAAAAGTTTGCCCACCCCTGGCCTAAGACCATCCCCAAGCTTTGAATAATTCACACTTAATAACCGTAATATTTTTGCATCCATTCATTGTTTCCCACCCTCACAATAAGTAAGTGGCCGTCCTGAAATCTTTTGTAATAAAAAATCTTTCTCCTCCACTACCATCTATGACCCATTCTAGTTTGCCTTTTTTAAAAGCCTTTTTCTTTTTTTTTCTTTTTTTAAGAGAGAGGAAGAGGGAGCGAGAGCAAAAAAACATCGACACGAGAAACAGACCTGTTGCCTCCCTCATGCACCCCAACTGAGGATCAAACCCACAACCTGGGTATGTGCCCTGACCGGGAATTGAACCCACAACTTTTTGGTATTCAGAATGATGGTCCAACCAGTTGAGCCACACTGGCCAGGGCTAGTTTGCTTTGTGTGTGTGTGAATTCTTGTCTTCTGTCCCAAAGGAGGAAGGGAATCATAGCCTGAGAACCAGTTAAACCAAATACCAGGATAGTTCCCTAAAACACCCACGTGGAAGTGGATGACACAAAAATACCCTGTCGTGTCCCTGACATGGGTCAAAGTGTTCAGACAGAGTATCTACTTCCAGTTTCTCATGGAAAGAAGAACTCAAAATTGCTGATTCTAGCATCGGAATTGTTGAGCCAGGGTTCCCAAGATAAGCTGTGATAAAATATAAAATATAATAAATGTAATGTTATATGATATATCGTACCATAAGATTTCTCCCAGCCTTACTGCCAAGAAAGAAGTTACTTGGGGCAATGTGGTTTCATACAGAAGCCAATGAACTTGTATAGACCCCATGAGTGATAAGTTTCCTAGATGGAAATGAGTAAGACGAATATACTCCAAGGCCTCACCATTTGTACCTCTTCACCCCTAAATCCTCATTTCTTAATATAGGGACAATCTCAAAAACAGGAGCCTCAGGTTTACACAGCGAAAGATGAGGAAATGCTCGGCCACTTAGTGCTCGGTAATCCTTCTCTGCGAATCTCCAGGGACTTTTCCAGACACAAACTTTTGCTAATTTGCATGATTTACAGAATAGAAAGGCTGGGGTTTTTATAGCCTAAATACTTTCCCAAGAGCTGAATCAAAGAGTTATAAGGTGAGCACATGTACAAGGCAAGGATTCAATATACTCAGACGACTCAGGTAACAAACACCTAGTATTTATTAATAAATTAGTACACTTGAAGGCATTTTTCTGATATCAGTCCCTCACCACTATCCACAAACCCCTCCCACACAAAGGGAGTCCACATCACCTTTGATTTAGAATCTGACAACTGAGCATTAGAGAGTATGTTTATAAATGGAAGCAGAGGTGCAAATATATCAGACAAGAGCTCTTACAGCTGCAGCCACTTTTGACGTGATTGAATGATGCAGGAATCCCACCGAGACCAAGGCCTTGATCCAGGGCAAACTGGACCTGTCAACTACGTGTGTATTAAAAAAAAAACACCTTGAAAGCAAAGCGGGGCAAATTCCCTGTGGAAAAGGTGCCCTGACACTCAGTTGTGACCTTCCAAAGTGCAGCAATATGTTCCCAAACAGCTTGACCCCTAAAAAGATGAAGTTCAAGTTCTTTGGTGGTCCAATTGTTAAGCCACTTAAATAGCAGGTCCTGGTGGCTTGAGGATTTCACGTCTCCAGCCCAGAGCGCATTAGAGGAGGACAAGTAATCAAGCATTCTACATGGTGTCCAGGTGAAAACCAGACAATTGGCAACGGTGTGGTCAAGTTTCGGCCATGAGTATGAACAACACAACAAGGCATTTGAAAACGACAACGCAACATCTCATTGAATTACAGTAACTCGACAGGGTCTTACATGTCCTTCACCCTTAAGAAAATTCGCAAGTGACAATCATAAAAAAATGGTAAGAATAAAAAACATAGATGTGGATGTTGAGACACGCAGACCGCTGACAGAATTCACAGGGCGCCATCACACTGCTGAAGAGGCTCACAGTCCGGTGCGCTGGAGCAGTCACAATGCATTTGTGCTACATGAAGTGAACATAAAGTGCGCAGAACAACTTGGAAAATACATAAGAAGGCAAAACAGAGAAAATATGGAACCTAAAAAACTTTAGTGGTGGGTATTTTGCAACAGTTATATCTTGAAAAGGTTTATAAACTAACTTCCCAGAAGGGCGGGGGGGAGGGGGGGACGACAAAAAAAAGGAAAGGACTCAAAAGACTGGCCATATACTTACTCTGATACACACACACACACACACACACACACACACACACACACGCGCAAACATACACATACCAAAAGCAACAACAACAAGAAAATCAACCACCCTGACACTAAGATGAGTAACTTCCAGAGTGCAGTCTTCCCTGCGTCCTACAACAGGTCGGGAAGATGGCTATAAACAGAGTCTAGGAGGGTCTGGCTGGCTTCCTGGCTCTTGACGCCAATAATCTCAAATAGCCGGTCCAGCTTGTCCTCAGCCTGAGGAATCTCTTCAATCACACGCAGCTCCTCAGGATTCAGAATGTGGAGCATGTCATCAAAAATAGGCTGCAAGTCACAGGGGTCCAGGCGTACCTGCCGCAAAACCGTGTCCTTCTTTTCTGCACAGGGGAGAGAAGAGGACAGCGGTAAAGGGACTGTGCTGGGGGCCAGGGAGGACCGCTAAGAGTGACAGCCACTCTCCCCCCAGGCTAACCCCAACCTACCACCCCAAGGTGAGTGAGGGAACCTCTGACACATTTTGAAAAACACAAGAGTTCTTACTTGCATTGCATGTAAGAAAACAAAATAATATTTGCCTAATAAAGATCAGACAAAGATCTGCTTCAATGGGTTGCTGATGTGTGTGTCTTTTAACAGGACCTTTGCCTAACCCTAAATGACTTCTAAATTCTTCTAAAACTCAGAAGGAAAATACTGTAATACCTTTTTAAAAATCTGAAAAACTACCCCTTCCCTCAGATATTTTACTATTTTCCCCATCAGTAGTTTGCTCACTAAACAAAAGACCTCAACCCACCTTTCTCCTCACCTCTGTTTATTTCAAGGCAATGTGATCTAATTATATGACTGTCTACTTATGATGCCATATTTTAAAACTGAACTGCTAAGAGCAAAAATACATACATGAGAAAATAATGCTTCTTGGGTCATGCCTTACAATGGTGTGAGAAACTATAACTTATCTATCTATCTATCTATCTATCTATCTATCTATCTATCTATCTATCTATCTATAAGTCTAAGCGACAATCCGACCAGTAGCTATGATGCGCAATGACCACCAGGGGGCAGACACTCAACTAGTAGGTTAGGTTGCTGCTGGGGCCCTGTCAACCCCGAATCTGGTTCACCAGCACCCCGGACCCAGAGAGGAGGGAGGAGGGAGCCCAATTCCTCACGGAATAGCCCGTGGGTTAGCTTGCTGATGGGGCCCTATCGGGCCTGAATCTGGTTCACCCACACCAGATTCCCTTTCAATGTGCACAAATCTGTACACCAGGCCACTAGTTATTACCAAAATCTTTCTCACCTGGCCGGCATGGCTCAGTAGTTGAATGTCGACCTATGAACCAGGAGGTCATGGCACATGCCTAAGTTGTTGGCTTGATCCCCAGTCGGTGGCATGCAGAAGGCAGCCAATCAATGATTCTTTCTCATCATTTATATTTCTCTCTCTCTCTCTCCCCCCCTCCCTTCCTCTCAAATATCAATAAAAATATTTTTTAAAAAGCTTTCTCTAAAATATAACACAAAATATAAATATTTTACATAAGTATAAAATAGATAAATATAAATATGTAAAGTATTTAAAATATTAGTATGTAAAATAGAACATATTTTATGAATTATAAAATAGAACATAAAATATAATCCTTCACTAAAATATAACTGGAATTAAACAAACTAGGAAATTCCTAACAAAATATCTGTCATCGATATAGTGTGCATGTTAATTCCTAACTCTGCTGTTAAAAACTGAAAGTGGCAAATTATGTACCAAAAGTACCAACTCACAATGCTTAAAATATTGTTATTTACAACTAAGCTTAACAGTGAACTTTAATTCGAGTCACTAAAACCTATACTTCAGCCACTCAAGAGAGGCTAATGCTTTAAATCCGTGGGTTCTGCAAGCCTGGTAAATAATTTTCAGAAAACCTGCCAGACTACATTTTATAGGACCTTTTCTGAAACACACATTTGATAGCATGAGGATCAAGGGTGACGGACACTCCAGGAGCACAGGCTCTCAGACAGACAGCCAGGGCTGTCAAGAGTTTCCACGTGGATCCCCACTGGCTAATGACATGATTTCTCCCGGGCCGGCCTTATCACGTTGCTGGGACAGGTTCCCTAGGACTGTGGAAGTGGCAGGGAGGCGTCCTGAGGGCTCTTATGGGGAAGGTTTCATGGCTGTACCTTTGGTAATAAAGGAGCCCGTCCTGCTCAGCGCAGAGGAGCCACTGGATGTGGAGTCGCAGCGAAGAAGGGGCTCGGACTCGTCCACAAAGAAGCCCTTGCTCTTCTCCAGCGGGGAGGGCTCCACGGTCAGGAGGGTGGAATTCTCAAGTTTCGGGTTGGGGCTGGGGATGGGGCTCGGGCTAAGTGGGCTGGGGCTCATCGGGAGAGCCAGTTTGTCGGCATCCAGCTGTGGGAGGGAACAACAAAAAGAATGTGTTTAATGATATACTTAAAAGTCACAGAGAAAGAAAATGAAATTAAAATGTTCTCAGATGCTTTTCTGTCTCATTTAATATTTTATAGATAAAGTCTCCCATTGACAGCCCTTACTAACTTATATTATTGTTAAACACACACAAACTCACCATACACAACACTTGAAAGAAAAATTTTATTGATTTTTTAGAGAGAGAGGAAGGGAGAGAGCGAGCAACATCGATGTGAGAGAGGAACATCAATCGGTTGCCATCTGCACACTCCCACTAGATAGAGCTCAAAACCCAAGCATGTGCCCTGACCAGGAATCGAACCAGCAACCTTTCAGTGCCTGGGATGATGCTCAACCAACTAAGCTACACAGGCCAGGACCACATAGACTTTTAAACCCTTCAAAAATATACATAAGAATATGTATGAGCATTAAAAATCGGGAGCATATATATCGAGCTGTCACCTCATAGGAGTAGAACTGAACAGGGAACAAAGGGGAAGATCTCCAACTTATAGTGTAATTTTGTAGAGCTAGAAAAGGTCTTAGATAATAACTGGTATACTCCTCTCTGATATGGTTTGAATTATACCCCTCCATCTCCAATTCATATGTTGAAGCTGTAACTCCCCGTATCTCAGAATATGGCTGCATTCAGAGATAGAGCCTTTGAAGAAGTAAGTGAGCCCTGGCCAGGTGGCTCTGGTTAGAGCATTGTCCTATGCCAAGGTTGTGAGTTCAATCCCCAGTCAGGGCACATACAAGAATCAACCAGCGAATAAATAAATAAGTAGAACAATAAATCAATCTCTCTCTTTTTCTCTCAAAACAATAAAATTTTAAGAAAATCTTAAGGAGATAATTGAGGTACAATTGGGTGCTGATCCAGTATGACTGTTGTCCTTATAAGAAGGCACAGACACACACAGAGGGAAGATCATGTGAAGACACAGGGGGGAGACGACATCTTCTCCGAGAGAAGCCTCAGAAGGCATCAACCCTGGTGACACCTTGATCTCAAAGGTCTAGCCTTCAAAATTGTGAGGAAATAAATTTCTGTTGTTTAAGCTTCCCAGTCTGTGCTTTCTTATGGAAGCCCTAGCAAACTAATTACACCTCTTTACAAGTAAGGAAACCGAAGCCTCCAGAAGTGACTTAATTAAGGACTCCCAACCAGTAAGCGCCAGCACTAAGTCTAGATTCTAGGTTTCCTGATTTCCATTTCAAACTAGCTCAGAGCACCCAAAGCATGAGCACGAAGCTTGCCTTCTGTAGTGGGCACCAGAGAGACATAACAAAAAGCAAACACGAGATGGTTTCTGATGGAGAGAGTGAGCTTCATGGCCACCCGGGCTGGTGTGCTGACAAGAATCAAGGTAGGATGACAGCATGCTGCAACTTTGGCCAGGTGAGGTAGAATCAAGGCTGTACCCGGTGTATAGTGGAGATGGGGGAAGTGATAGTGTTATCACCCCATTTTACAGGTGAAATAAGGTCACACAGCTACTGGGAGAAAATCAGTGTTCACCTCAGGTCTGCCTGCCATCTCTACACAGCCCTGTCGTTTGACACTATACTTCAGGACTCTGGCAGGTACTTGTGGTATTTCCTAGTCCATTGACTTTATCTTTTCATTGGCTCTTCTGGCATGGATGAAAATCTGGGAGCAGGTCACACAGGGCAGGGTTCAGGGATGAACACTCTTCCCAGAGCTGTTAATCACTACTCATTAGAACCCTCAGACTTCACTCACACTAGTCAACTTCAAGTTCCTCAGCCAAGAAGACACTGACCCTCCTTTCAAAGCATCACGTTGAATAGTTGTAAAACGCATAAAGCAAACACAACTGCCTCTTTTACAACCTTTAAGGCCTAAGAAATTCTTACAGTGGACTGCAGATTCTGAAAACCACTGATTACCTCACGTCTAATGTTGTTCCAAGAGCATTTTTCCTCTGTACAACCACCCACACCTCACTTTTGCTTCCAGTGCAAGTTTAAGACTTGGAAAACACACATTCCCAGCAGCCCCCGTCTGATCCACAGATAAGTTTTATGTATATGCTTTTAACATTTTCTTTCAATAGGCACTGGCATGTTCCCCTGCTCCCTGCAAATGCACATGGCCATTCATGCCAATACACGGTTTTCATTCACTCAGACAAAGAGCACTTGTCTACACTCTGGTTCTCAGGGACATTACATTGGACAACATGGTCAGTCAATATAGTGCACTATTCTTGCTTAAAAAGCAATTCTCACACACAAATCACATGATAACAGGCTAAGAAATAAGATGTCCACCCACCTATTTCCTGAACTCAGTTCAAAACTTTAAATATTTAATCCCCTCCCCCTACTTTTGCCAAAGGACTAATCATGTGATTTCCAACATAACTTGGGAAGACAGAATGCTGATGTGATGCTCTCCTATAATTAGGAATGAGTCAAGTGAATATGAAAATGCCCCTAGGAATTGTTTTAGCATCACCACACTGGAGCTAAGCTAACATCTACCACTAAAGCCAGTGGTAGATCATCTTTCTAGAAAATCTATTCTACTAAGGATACACAGTAGCTGGTTGCATTCGAGATTTCTCTAAAGTTATATGCATTTTTTCACTCTAAGAAAAAAAATTGATCCTAGAAACTTACTTTTTTCCTCTTTACTTTAATATTTACAATATCCCCCAAAATTGGTTTGCAACACAGCATGTAACTCAAGCACTGTGTTACCTGTGGTAGCTCTCATCAGAAAATCAATCATCAGGATATTTGGAATAAATGAATTCTTTCTTTTATTAATTCAGAAAGTCCTTGGTTCAGTATGGAGTTTATAGCAACTGAGGAACACTTATAATAAGATTTAGAAACTGAAAGAGAAGACAGATATTCTAAACAAGAAAGCCAGATTTCCACAGAAGAGGGTCTTTTCTTACAAAAGCTTTGAGCGTAAACTTTTCAAAACATGCACAAAATGAGTAACTTAATTTATTCCTTATGCTTCTTTGAGCTTTCCAAATTCTCTGCAGGGACATATTAACTTTATAATTAAGAAAACAATAAATGTTATTTTTGAAAGCAGTCACCACTGATAAGTATATTTTCCTTCTGCTAACTTGCAAATGTTGTGGCCGCAGCCTCTTTTATTTATATCGGTAGCCAAGAAACAGGATAGTTGGAAGAGCATCTACTTGGCTGAGCTCCTCTCTATACTTTTGTTAAATGTTCATGGGCACAAAAGGGCAAACCCCCCCCACACACACACACACAAAAATAAAAAATAAAAAACACCTCTTGCAGTCAGGCAGATATTAAGATGTAAAAGAAAGGCCCCTGGGAAAACTTGGCCAATGAAGGAAACGTATCCACCAGATATCTGAAGCCCCTTTGGAGAAATGTGAAAAGTTCGGTTCTTAGCCATGTTTTATAGCCATGAGGTAATCATGCTATCTTGGAAGGCTCAATTGAGAAATGAGGTAGAGACAGTAAGACAGACCAAAAGGGGAGGGGGCAGGGATAATAAAGAAAGAACCAGCCCAAAACAGATGGTTCTATTGTGGAAACTTCAAGAGCATGTACTATATTTTGGCCAAATGAGCCCCAAATGTCCTTCTGATTAGTTTCTTTCCATGGAAGTACACTTAGTCCTTCCAGAGACTGCAGTTATTAGTCCAACCTGAAATGGGAAGAGATAAATGGTTCCCCTGACTCAACAGCTGAGTCACACCGTAGAGGAGCTCCACCGCTGACCTGACCATCTTCCTTTGATTTCCAGAGCCACCCAAATCGGTTAGTACACGGGGTATGGACTGAAATGTGTGAGCTTGAACACCTCTGGGCTACGGAGGTTTGTAGCCGTGTTTATGAGAACGAGGATTTTACTTGTACTCGTGTTGTACTGGAATGAGCCATTTCCAGCTGTGTCCTTACAACCCTCTCTCCTACCTCAACCAGAGCCCCCAAACTGAGTGCTCACTCTGGGTGCTCCACCAAATCACAACCAGAAACTGAAGCTGGAGCTAAAGTCTCCTCTTTTCATATCAAACCAAAAGACCACTTGGTTGCCTGGCCTTCCCTAAGATGCTAGGAAATGGAAAGTCAAGTGTTTCACTAGCCCCTTGGGCGGGTGGAGCCGGGAATGGTAAAGGAAAGTCCTTCCATGCTTTATCCAAGAAAAGGGCAGTATATACATGAAACAAGATTTTTGAGAGCACTTTTCTTCTCTCCTAAGAGCTAGCAGCATTCCTGAATATATTCTACCAACAGGAATGTGCCCAGAACTCTGGCCTCAGAGCTACCTTTTCAGCATGCATTTCATTTTTTCCACAGTCAACTTTTAAAAAATCAAAGTCATGAAAATCCTGGAATATCATTGCAAGGGAAGGTGTGATCTTAGAAAAACCATTTCCTTCTGCAGACCTGTTTCCCTGTTTCTAAACAAAAAAGTCTAGACAAGGTCATCTCTGTTCAAATTATGTCATTTATTGTTTGTCTTCCTATTGCTATTTCATTCTCTACTCCCATCCCAACCCCCACCCCAAATCCCTTTCTCCTTCCAAGTTACCGCCAACTGGTTCACTCAACTAAGGTTTACCTCCAAGTTAATTTCAATTACTACCCAATTACAATCTCCCTGTGGATGCACAATCTGTTTTCATAAAACTAATTAACAACTTCAATGCCTCAGTAACCCCCTGAAATGAAGCAGTAATTACCCAGCCTGGGTGCTCCTTACCAATCTGCTAAAATGATTCAACTTAACCCCCTGGCTCCTGGCACTGCCCATTTGGATTCCAGGAGACACCCCTTGTCCTCTCTGCAGCCAGATATGCCTGACAGACTCAAGAGGAAAGCTTCTTAGAGTCAAAAGTCACCCTTTCAACTAAACTTTTCCTCCAGACCTCATCTAACACTTAGAAAAATTTCCATCACTTTAAAAACGATTTTTAAAAAGCCTATTTGCTAAATTCAATGAA